ACCATTGTGTTGGGTTCCACTTTCGAAACCTAACAGCAAAGAAAGAAAAAAAAATCCCATGCACATTTAAGACTGTGTACGGCAACCGAGAACAGCAAATAGCACACATTTCTCCTGTGTTAGTTTTTAATATTCCAAGAGTTGCAAATACCACCTTTTTAAAAATCAGTTACGTCATTAACATTTTGTGGGAATTAATTTCCATTGAACAGATTAATCTCTTCATAAATACAATGGCAATCATTTTTTTCTTTAAATATTGCTTTCAACGTTATATAACCTTAGCTTACTTTTTTTTCACAACCACAAAGCAACCATATAAAAGCAATCGTCTTGTTATCATGACAAACATTTCAGATATTACTATTCAAATATTAATATCTGGATGAAAGAGGGAGTCAGGTGATATTTACTGCAGGGAACTTGAATGCACAAAGACTCTTAAGCATTAACGCCGATAAAGTTCATCAGGTGATGGTGTAAACAGTTTGACTTCTGGAATTCTTCACCACCACAGTGTAGCAAAAACATGTCGAGGTGGGAAGGGTATTTTGTAGTCTTCAATAACATTTTCCCCACTGCAAGCCTCATTTCCAACCGGGCTCCACCATTAACAGTGTACATAAAGACAAGCCATTGTAGCCTTCTCCGATTAAAGCCTTGCAGTCATTGCGTTCCTCACAGGTATCCTAGATTCTATATATATATATATAAAAAAAAGAACTCAAGAACCATTCCAAAGCTTTTATAGAAATCGTGCACATTGTTAAGTATGCATCTGAGAGAGACAGAAATATTTGATAAACTGAAATTAATTGTCAGAAGTGATATTTTAATTATCCATAAAAGTCACTGATTTCTATAGTCTGATAAATCATGGGGAGTCACAAATAGTCATGAACAAATAAACCTTTGTCTAGGAGAATCTATTTTCTTTACTGTTATTTTTAACTGTTTCAGTTAATAATGGTAGAATTAATAACATCCACTGAAACCACAATAGAACTCCAATTCCATTTCATTACAACTAATGAAAACAGATTATTTTAATACTGTGCTTTGAGAAATGTAAAAATACTAAAAGATAATACCTTCTGCTTTCAGCTTTGAAAAACATAAGAGGCTTACATAAATTCGCTTACTCTATAAGCAGGGGTGTCAAACTCATGGCCTCTGGGCCACATGCATCACGCGCTGGCCATGCCCACCCCCAATTTAGCGAAGGGGAAATGTAGTGTTGAGACAACATGTTGTCGCGACTTTGACACCACTGCTCTATAGCAGGGGTCTCCAACCTTGGCAACTTTAAGACTTATGGATTTCAACTCCCAGCTTTGCTGGCTGAAGAATTCTGGGAGTTGAAGTCTTAAAGTTGCCAAGGTTGGAGACCCTTGCTCTATAGGATCACATATTAATTCAAAGTCAAAACAGAGTATAACAAAAAGCTAACTTTTATTGAACCAGAAAGTATTAGTTCATCTAACTTAGTACTCTGCTTGTACTAATAGGAAGTGGATTTCCAATATTTTATTTGGACTTTTTCCAGCTAAGACAAAAGTTTATAATTTAAAAAAAAACATTCATAGCATGTAAATCCTCTATAGCCATACAGACCTAAACTTTCCTCCAGAATTTCTAAAACTCTTGATCACTGCTAAGGTCATTAGCATGTATTGATTGTTATCAGTCATTATTATTAGCAAGTCTATGAATTGTTTACCTGTTTTGTCATGGAAATCAAGTAATATTGTAAAAATGGAATCATCTGTCTAGACAAATTTTGAATTGCTATTAGTAGTCAATGTAGCCAGAGATGAAGTTTAGCCCACACAATTGTCTCTCTCAAGGAAAAAGCTAACTTTAGACTGATCTTAAATTTCCATGACAGACAGCCCCAGTTCCTTATTAGCTTGCGATTTGTCTATTTATTAGAATCAAAGCAATCAAGCAGCCAAAGGTGTACATACAAAGGTGTCCATGTCTTAGCTCAAGCAGATAAAAACGTAGGCCGTGAAGTCCTCTGAGTCAACACACTGCTTTGACTATTAACTTTTTTATATAACAATTGTTGGCTTTACTAGTTTTAATAAATATTTTTCTCGCTAAAATCATTCCGAAAAGATAAACCATTCCTTTGTCATTTAAGGATATTTCACAAGTCCCTACGTTCCTTAGGAGTTGTAGGTTGCTTTACAAAAAAGTACTACAAGAAGAAGCTCTGTCAATATGGATAATACATTTTACAATACCCAAAGTGCCTCCTGCCACATTCATTCTGTGGCATGCCAGGCTACCATAGGAACCCATTAGAGAAAGACTTTTCCCTGCTTTCTGCCACAAGCTTGACAAATGGCAGTAGTAGGTTTATTACATTTTTAAAAACCCAGCACAAATAGAGCAAATAAGCCATTTGATGAAATTTCCCCACCCAGTTTCTCTATAATTTAGTATCTCCTGCTGTATCCATTTTCAGATCATATTAAAACACGACATTCTAACTTGCAATGGTTTTTTTTTTCATCAACAGCAAAACAAGAGTTTAAAAATCTAGACATAATAGTAAATCACCAAAATTATTTTAGGTCATAGTTCCCATTTTCAGGTTCCTATATATCAATTATGCAGATTTACTTATCAGATCTTAAAATATAACCATCCCAAATTACAGGAACAAAGAAGGTTTTGTTTTGAGATAAAATTCCACCCAGCATTTAATTGACAGGAAAGAAAAAACAGGAAGGACAAACTAATGTAAGAATGTGAATAGTATAGGTCTGTGGCTATACGCAGGTAAGAATGTTGGACATTGGCAATTGCCAACATGGTGTTCCACCCTAATTTATGGGAATGGCATGATAACAATTCGATTAAAACTGGTTTTATTTACATGGCATAAAATGAACAATCTATATAAACAGAGTGATGCAATGAAAGACGGGAAGATTTATAATTTATTCAGACACTCACTTACCAAATATTCCTGCCGTCTTAGCCAGGGATTCTTTGTTTACTATGTAAGTGAATCCATCAACCCTGAGGTGGAGGTGAGAAGGGAAAGAGAAAGAATTTGAATGAGGTTCTGTAATACCCAATCTTTATTGGGGGGAAAAGGATTATGAAGTCTCTATTCTGAGCGTGTAACATTAAAATGATTAAACATGCCAACAATGCAAAAAATTTCAGACATTAAATGTTGAAGTACATCATATAGCACATTGATAGAGCTGGCAATGCTTCTTATTGTTTGAAACTTAGACCTTTATTGCCTTTTTAAAAGAGAAGTAACAACCATATCTGTTCATTTTAATCTGGGGGATAGTGTTAATTTATTACCTAAAACAAATAGCACATAAAACATTTATCCTCTGAACTATTTTATAATGTCATCAGAATCCCTGCCATACTTATTGATATGGTTCAAGTCAAGTATTCATGTTGTCATTAGTTTTAACAATGCAGAATGATTAGATCAATATGTTTTATTTATCAAATACATTTTATTTATTTATTAAATGTTTATGCCTCCCATTTTCCCTATGAAGTGGTTCTGGGCAGCTTACAAATTATAAACATCATACACTAGTGACTTTGAAGAGCAACAGATTTTATTATAAGGCATATACTAATGCCATATAATAACATTTGTTAGTCTTAAAAATGAAATGTTTTATGTTACCATAGTTCAGAGGTCTCCAAACTTGGCAACTTTAAGACTTGTGGACTTCAATTCCCAGAATTCTCCTTCTGGAAGTTGAAGTCCACAAGTCTTAAAGTTGCCAAGTTTGAGGGCCCTTGCCATAGTTTAATATATTGGGGGTATTAATACTTGCTTCAGATATGCATTTGGCTACAATATTTTGTAAATACAGCTCAGCCTGCAGAAGGTATTAAGCAATATTTGCTATCTGATTTAAGGGTTTGGAATACCCCATCTGTTGTGCAGGTCATTTTGATATTGCCTGCCAAGGCAATATGGCCCCAAAATCTACGGAGAATAAATAACACCAAGTCTCTGAATTTTGTCCTTCATGACATCATTATATATCTGTCAAATAATGGACATCCGATCTCATACTGTGAGTCGTGCAGTACATATTTGAGTGTTTGCTCTGGCTTTCAAATTAGGACCGCTGAAGAGAGTTTACTGTCCATGTCACATTTACTGACACGGAATTCCCAGATTCTCTACTACATCAAGTATTCCAGATTGTGGAAGCAACAGTAGTGGTAGAGTTCACAAGAACTTTCCAGCAGTTCTCTTAAATATTTCAGTTTCCATCCAATCTATTAGATGTGCAATCATACTTATAGGTACAGGAACACCTGCTTCTACCCGTGCCTTCTCCTCCTACATATCTAAGTCACAAGAAGGTATATTCTTATGGATGTTGCCATGGATTTGCCTTTAGGGCCAAAAATGGTTGTGTCTTTTTTTCCATGATACAAACCAGGCTGTAGGACAATTGGCCAGGAGCAGAAGCAAGCCTCTCTTTACTGCAGTTTAAGATGGGGCGTAAATAGTGGTGGGATTCAATTTTTTTACTACCGGTTCTGTGGGAGTGACTTGCGGCCATGACAGGGGAAGGATACTATAAAATCTCCAGTCAGAGGTGGTATTTGCCGGTTCTCTGAACTACTCAAATTTTCCACTACTGGTTCTCCAGAACTGGTCAGAACCTGCTGAATACTATTCCTTGGCGTAAACCCTTATTCACCCACATACTGGAGTTCTTTTATGTTTTGTATTTAGCACTGAACACTCTGTAGAATGCTAATAAAAATTACACTCCTCCTGAACATTTTCAACTGTTAGCAGATTTATAGTAATTCAGCTTCTTCATTGAGTTCCAGATATATACTCACGTTTTCATTCTGTCCACCATGCCTAGTCGCACAAAAGCAGCCAAAGCATTTTTCTGCATATCAGAAGACAGGACCTCATAACACTGAGTACTCCCTAAACAGGAGGAATGGGGACAATGAAAAATGCCGTCCTCCTATTTAAGAGCTAAAATCAGTATATCATTGTAATTTCCAAATCCCACACCTGTCTCCAGAAGCTGGGAAGCAAGGCTTCGGACTCCAAATATAAAGTGCTTCTCAGTAAAGGCTTCATTTGTTTCATTAAAAAGGTATTTGCAGATTATCTAAGAAAAAACATTTAAACTGATGTTACATTGGTGTTACTAAGCACATCACAAAATAGCCACTGTTCTTTTTACGGGAAGGTAGGCATACAACAAAACTGAAAACATTTGAGCCGAGAAATACTTCCCCGTATTTGAAAGAGTTGAAGTTGCTAATTAAGAGCTATTTTCAAAACAATATTCCCAGTAAAAATATAGTTTTCTTACTTCTTTGAATGGAAATTTTCTCGTACCTCAATCTGTTTCTGGAAATTTTACAAAGTACTTTGTAAACAAGAACTGGAACTGTCTACGTCATGAGTTATATAAGGAAAAGTAATAAGCCAGAAAGAGCGATAGGAAGAGGCTTGGTAAGACTATTTCAGTCTTTCCATTCAATATTCATTTCACTGCATCATGGATACACTCTAATCCTATAATATAATAATGCTCAATTATATCTAAAATATCAGCTTAGTGAGGTGATGCAATCTTAAGGATGTGCGTGTTTCATTTTCCTTTGAATATATCCGTGCTAATCAATTAAAGCACAGTGGTAATACTAAAGTTGCCTTGCTTAAATTAGAAAAATGGTGGTAGTGGAGGGAAGAGGTTATCATTCAATGAATCAACTTAAAATTTAACCTTTAAAGCCCTAAACAGCTTCAAATATAGCCACAATAGGTCACATGGTGGCTCCCTGGTATTATTGGGAGTTAAGCTCCAAACCTAGACAGCAGTGCATGAAATTGTGAGAATTAAAGACTCAGCCATCTGAAAAGTAACAAAACTACCTGCTCTCATTGGAATATATTGTAAATCAAGGTCATCACTTGGCGGCCCTTCTTCAGATGCCTTGGCCATCATAAATTAGATAGAAGGAAAGGAAGCAGAAGGCCTTTTTCATGGCATTGCTCTCAATTCTTCCCCAGGGAAATTCATATTCTCTCCTAACTTACTGTAATTACTGGGCAAAGACCTCTTTACTTGCCAGATGTCTTAACCCAACGCTAGATATAATATTTGCATTTTATCGCTAATTTTTTGGTTGGTTGGTTGGTTTTTGCTTATCCGTAAAACTCTGCAATCTTTTTTTCAAGATGGACTTTGAGATTCTTCTTTATTTTTATGCTCAGAAAGCATATTTGTATTACAGACACAAAATTATTGGAATTAGGAGATAATATATTTATAAGAGTTACAGACAGAAGCTCAGCACTGACATGTAATATTTCTTATCACTCCCAACAACAAAAATGAAGATTAGTGAGAAGAATGTTGAAAAACCCATACCTGATAACCTTCTACAAATGGCTTAAACATCACACTCAAGAAAGTAATTATTGTGTTTCCTTTCTCTGTGACAAAAATTTGCTGTGGTGTATCTTGAATGGCTCCACATTTTGTAAGCAAGAAACAACCTTCTTCAAAATCCTAGAGATTAAATAAATCTCTGTTATTTTTTTTTAGGGGCTGTAAACTCAAAAGTATCATCTGTAATTTGTTCTAATGTCAACCAATATGCACAAAGAGTAAAAAAACAAATCTACAGATCATGTTAACATCTCAGTATTTTTTTATTAAAGTCCAAAGTCATATGACAGCAAGATGGATGGATGGATGAATGAATGAATCAAACAATGAATCAATGTATATTACTTAA